GAAAAAGTGGCTACTGCCCACAAACGAAACCCAAAAGAGTAAATATCATGAAAAATGAATGTAACGTGAGAAAAGACATGAAGGTATGAGTAACTCTTGTAATTAAAAGCGTTTAGTTAACAAATTCACAGTATCGTTTAGGCCAGTGTACACGCCGACCAGAGCGTGTAACCGGTGCTTTACTTGTCTCATCCGGAGAACTGCTAGGTTTAGTAGGATTTTCGACAATCGAACTTGGCTGGGGTGTGGGTGCGGGCGTAGTTGCTGGTTGTGTAGGCGTGAGGGGTACAGATTTTTCGATGTAGGCCGCTTTAAGTCTGTCGACACTTACGGTGTCTTGACGGCCAAGTCGATCAATAACAAAAAATTTTCCTTTCCTACTAACGACCTTGGATGGTCCATCATAAGGAGGTTGTAACGGTCTACGAACGGCGTCGCAACGCACAAAAACGTGCGTACAGTCATCGAGTCTAGCATCCACTTGCACTCTCTTGTTTTGTGTGCGTGTGGGAGTTGGTTGCAGGCGCTGCATAAGGCGCTTGAGGTTCTGAGCATAACAATGTACATCCGTAGCACTTGTCTCACCAATTTTCAGGTGAGATAATTTCACCCGGTAGACGAAGGGTGGTAGAATTTTTGTCCAACCCTATCACATACAGTGGTTTGAAATCTATGCCTACATTACCATAGCTGTGTTGCTTTCGAGACTTCGTACACACTTATCAACTCTTTACTGCTATCACATGCATATCTGGCAGCGGTGCAAACTCGCCCACAGATTCCCAACGTAGTGTCAGGAAATTACATTAAGGTGGTAACTTCTATTGATCTAACGACCTTCCTGCAATGGTGAGACTTGTAGAATCATTATTTCCTGCCAGTGTTGTAGCTTGTCTGTTCATTGAGATATGCAGGCCCGACCATTATGTCAAGATACCAGCTATCAGTCGGGATTAAGTCTCTAAAGAACCGTAAATTTCGATTTCGAAGGTTGTTTGATTAATTTGATATGATTATGAGCCATAAATTGTGCTTGAAATATCACCTAGTGAACATTGTGTCAATTAAATCAAATAAAATCAAATAACTCACATGAGATTATGCTATACCTGAATGTAGATGTACTACTGTTATATCGTGTTACATTTTCATGCAGCAGTTTGACACCTTGTAATGTTTGCCGATTTTTGTTCCACCTAAATAAATCATAGTAAAATCTGAATATTAAAATCTGTAAAGATAGACATTAAGCAGTTAATGCATTTCAACATCAAAAACAACAACAACTTTATTGATGTGGTTTCATGCTTTGTGTACAATGAACAGACCTACTGAATTTAACATTATTTTGTTGTTGTTTTTTTTGTTTTACTCCCGATTGTGATGCGTTTTTCAGCCGATTGTTTCTCTCACTGAAGATGATGAAGAAATATCTCCTGATTTGAGCGATTTACTTCCAAAGATTCGTAAGATTATAGATGTAAGTTGTTCATTCTTAATTAATTTCTTTTTATGCCTGATTATTTAGCAAAATGTCATGAAACCTGTTGATCCCGAGTTATGTCAGTTGTTAAAGTTATTGAGTGAAGGTCTGAGTATTGCTGACAGACAGGATGGATTTTCCAAGTATTTACGTGATCAAGAAAAAATGCATCTACCAGCCTCATCTACATCACACAGGTTAGTTGAAGTAAATTTAACGTATATATATATCGTGTTTTTTTTCTTCTTCTTCAGAGAAATCATGGAGATGGTTAGTTCATTGAATGTATTTTCAGCTAAGCTGACTTTAACTGCTGACACTGTTGACCAAATGGTAACCCTGTTTTTTTTTTCGAAATTATTTATTGAGTGATTTTACAGAAAAACAAGACATTGATTCACAACCATGATCTAAATACTCAACCCTCTGAAGATATTAATTTTGATGGATAAGAATCTGAAGGCATCTGTAAAGCGCCATGTTCCGGAGGTGTGTGTATCTGTGTGTGTGTTTGAATCTAAAAGTGATTGAATTTCTGTAATTGTGTACATAAATAACAGCGAGGAAATTACACAATGGAAAATGAAAAATTCGATTTACAGTGGAAGCAATTTAATACCCTTTTTGAATAAAATGGAATTTTATACTGAGTTATTACTTTTTTCCTCTCAAACTATTATTGACATAATTTGTGTTGTCGCTATGTGTATGTTTACAGCCTGAAGTCGACAGTTACTGTAGTCCATAACATATCAGTTGGACAAAGTCAACATAGGTAATGAACTACTAAAATAGAGTTGGGGACTGACAGATAAGCAGGAAGAATTTGTCCTGAATTTTTTAAAAAAAACGTAGAACTTTGTATAAAAGTGCAGTAGTTTAGTCATCTAGAATTTATATTAGTTAGTTTACTTGCTGTATGCAAGATATTAGTGTTTTTATCTCTCCTATTATTTAGCCGCCACTATCATACTAGTTAGAAATTGATGTTTTTGTTGTACTTGTTCGTTTAAGTGGTGTTTACATGCTGTAGTTTATTTCTTTAAATTCTAAGTGGAACATAGGGTTTCAGTGTTTTCTTGAGCTTTGTAGTTTCGATAGCAGTGGTGTTATGTCTACGTGGTGGGAGGTTGCTAGCCTTACCTGATTTATCCTATACCAGCTAATATTTCCCGTCGAGGAACGCGATGTTTAGTATGAAAATCTGGAAAGGAGACAGTGGTGGTCAAACCGAATCGTGCCATCAGTCAATGAAATCCACAACAGTTAGTTTAAGCCAGTCACGTAAGAAGGCGTAGACTGCTGTCTGGTTGGATTCCTCGGGACGGTAAAAGTTAATGGCTGGAGACAATTTGTGATATGGTTAAAAATCGTTGTCAGTGATGTAGACGCATCCACTTCTTGTGACTAATAATATCCATTATAACTACATTGTTCTTCTAGATTACTTTTCTTTTTCCCTCATATCTCTGTTTTGCATTTTTTTCACTTTCTTCCCTTGCTTTGTGTACCACATGGAGTGTGGCGATTAGAACTGCTGCACATCGGTGCAAAGTTCTACGTTGAAACCAGTTAGTTACTCGTCATTGTGCTCATATTCCATAGTGAATTTAATGTTTGGGTGGACCTCACTAAGGCGGTCACATAATATGGATGCCTGACTCATGGCGATACAAACAACAAACGCATCATCGACATATCGGCGATAGTATGTTGGTTCACTGATTGCATCACTCAGTCGTGTCTTCAATTCTGACTGAGGCCGCTAAGTCAACTAAACCTGATATTTTCGGTTACAGTGCTTAGGGAATTTTATGTATTGTTAGTGTTCGTAGTGAATCGAGAGTCAATAGCATCTAACAAGATTCTGTCAGACGATCGCTTAAATGGATTTAATGTCAATCAATATAAGAGAGAGCATTGGAGGCGGCATGAAACTACTTCAAGCGTTGAAATAACTTGTGGTAATGAAGAAACACACAAGTCGTAATAACCTCGAATGCTACTTCCTTGTACACCTTCATTAGGTGACACAAAGCAGACATCATAAGATAATATGACCCTTACTACTTAATTACAAAAGATTAAAACCATTTTCCGGAAAAAAAAACTAAATTAACGAGGTCAATTGGTACTATTGAATTATGATATGTAAAACGTATCAAGCTTTGCCTCCCGGTATAGACTGAACAACTATTGTAACAACAGAAGACAAGGGCCAGGCCAGATCATCTATATGTCAACTGTATCCGCCTACTCAAATTCTGCTGTGGTCGGTTTTTGAATCAGTCTTGTTCATATTTTCTCACGACCAATCTTGAGAACGTAAACATTGACGTAAATTACTGTCTACCAATTTGGCTAGTAGACAGCTCTCAACCACACTATTACCTCTTATCAACACAGTCGACTAATCTTAGTACCTAGACGCTACATGTTTTGCAGTGGCTAGAAATGAAACCTAAGACAATAGTTTCGCTCTTTCTAAAATTTTTCGGATCTCAACAAACGAGGTTCCCACTGAGACCAGTAGGCAGACATATCATTCCAAACCTCAAAGTCTTCCTGTTGAAGCTACTGAACCACAAGAATTACCCTTTGGGCAGCGCATACGATTTGACGTTTTTCGTAATGCCTGTAATTAATCGTCAACCCCTTTGAAGTGAATTAGTTCACCAACTTTATAACAGTATGTGCTGCGTTGTCGGCGGTTCAGCAATAGGATTTTCGCCAACCAAGCAAGTGGTCCGGCGTTCAATCCTTAACCGATGCACTTCCAAAACCTCGCTAAGTCGGTAGTGTAGACCAGTAAAGAGTGAAAGTTGGATATGAGGCTAGCAACCTCCCACCACGTAAACATAACACCACTGCTATCGAAACTACAAAGCTCAAGAAAACACTGAAACCCTATGTTCCACTTAGAATTTAAAGAAATAAACTACAGCATGTAAACACCACTTAAACGAACAAGTACAACAAAAACATCAATTTCTAACTAGTATGATAGTGGCGGCTAAATAATAGGAGAGATAAAAACACTAATATCTTGCATACAGCAAGTAAACTAACTAATATAAATTCTAGATGACTAAACTACTGCACTTTTATACAAAGTTCTACGTTTTTTTAAAAAAATTCAGGACAAATTCTTCCTGCTTATCTGTCAGTCCCCAACTCTATTTTAGTAGTTCATTACCTATGTTGACTTTGTCCAACTGATATGTTATGGACTACAGTAACTGTCGACTTCAGGCTGTAAACATACACATAGCGACAACACAAATTATGTCAATAATAGTTTGAGAGGAAAAAAGTAATAACTCAGTATAAAATTCCATTTTATTCAAAAAGGGTATTAAATTGCTTTCACTGTAAATCGAATTTTTCATTTTCCATTGTGTAATTTCCTCGCTGTTATTTATGTACACAATTACAGAAATTCAATCACTTTTAGATTCAAACACACACAGATACACACACCTCCGGAACATGGCGCTTTACAGATGCCTTCAGATTCTTATCCATCAAAATTAATATCTTCAGAGGGTTGAGTATTTAGATCATGGTTGTGAATCAATGTCTTGTTTTTCTGTAAAATCACTCAATAAATAATTTCGAAAAAAAAACAGGGTTACCATTTGGTCAACAGTGTCAGCAGTTAAAGTCAGCTTAGCCAAAAATACATTCAATGAACTAACCATCTCCATGATTTCTCTGAAGAAGAAGAAAAAAACACGATATATATACGTTAAATTTACTTCAACTAACCTGTGTGATGTAGATGAGGCTGGTAGATGCATTTTTTCTTGATCACGTAAATACTTGGAAAATCCATCCTGTCTGTCAGCAATACTCAGACCTTCACTCAATAACTTTAACAACTGACATAACTCGGGATCAACAGGTTTCATGACATTTTGCTAAATAATCAGGCATAAAAAGAAATTAATTAAGAATGAACAACTTACATCTATAATCTTACGAATCTTTGGAAGTAAATCGCTCAAATCAGGAGATATTTCTTCATCATCTTCAGTGAGAGAAACAATCGGCTGAAAAACGCATCACAATCGGGAGTAAAACAAAAAAAACAACAACAAAATAATGTTAAATTCAGTAGGTCTGTTCATTGTACACAAAGCATGAAACCACATCAATAAAGTTGTTGTTGTTTTTGATGTTGAAATGCATTAACTGCTTAATGTCTATCTTTACAGATTTTAATATTCAGATTTTACTATGATTTATTTAGGTGGAACAAAAATCGGCAAACATTACAAGGTGTCAAACTGCTGCATGAAAATGTAACACGATATAACAGTAGTACATCTACATTCAGGTATAGCATAATCTCATGTGAGTTATTTGATTTTATTTGATTTAATTGACACAATGTTCACTAGGTGATATTTCAAGCACAATTTATGGCTCATAATCATATCAAATTAATCAAACAACCTTCGAAATCGAAATTTACGGTTCTTTAGAGACTTAATCCCGACTGATAGCTGGTATCTTGACATAATGGTCGGGCCTGCATATCTCAATGAACCGACAAGCTACAACACTGGCAGGAAATAATGATTCTACAAGTCTCACCATTGCAGGAAGGTCGTTAGATCAATAGAAGTTACCACCTTAATGTAATTTCCTGACACTACGTTGGGAATCTGTGGGCGAGTTTGCACCGCTGCCAGATATGCATGTGATAGCAGTAAAGAGTTGATAAGTGTGTACGAAGTCTCGAAAGCAACACAGCTATGGTAATGTAGGCATAGATTTCAAACCACTGTATGTGATAGGGTTGGACAAAAATTCTACATTTCAAAATAATTCAGCGGAGAGTGATAGAACACCGAATTTTTGTGTCTTAAATCAATACCGAATTCGTACGACCGGAATAAGATGTACCCATATAAGTGGAGGAACGAAGCATTAAGCGAATGAATTTCCACACAGAAACTTGCACAGAAGTGCAGCAGTTCAAGTTGTCACACTTTATGTGGTAAGCAGAGATAGAGGAGACAGAAAAGAAATCCAAAAAGCTAATAGGTAGAAATGTACGAGGGGATAGAAGCTTGGGGAAACATAGAGGTTTAATCGGCATAGAAAGCCAAAAAGAATCAATGCATCTGCGTCAGTGAGAAGCATTCTGAGCTATATCACCGATAATCTGCAGTCACCGGTTCTTAGTATCCCGAAGACTTTGTCAAGCCATCCACAACTCCCTATGTGGTGCGAATTACATTGATAACAAGTTTTGCGTTGACTGTCGTTAACTCTTTGTCAATACAACCGTCACCTAAAATTGCTTGTCGAGGAAGACGACGCTTCGACATGCGCTGCACGTATCCCAGCCTTCTCAATCGACTTATCTTCACAACCTCATAGACTGATTCACCGTTCCTAACTAACACCACGCCTAACTTCAATATTACACACCATATTATACCACTTAACACGGGAGATAGAGCGCAAACATCTCTGTTCAAAGACAGCTAGCCTTCTCATATCTTCCACCTTCCTCAGCCATATCCTACAGCAACAAAGCAGGATAAGGTGAATCGCTGTGCAGTGCACATGTCATTGTAATTTCCCATATCTAATAAACCCTTATGTTTCACCGTGCTACTGATCTTTCTCTGTCAATTTCCTGCTTACTATAGTCATTTCGAACTTTTTCTCTCTTCGTTTATTCTGTCTTTGTGTGATTCATGGTGTGAAAGACGGACATCACGTCCACGCCAGAAATGACGTCAGTTGGCAAATACAACACGAGCCTTTTATGAGTACTGATAGTTCGTGAACAGTGGGTCTGTTCGGGTTGATACAACTTCCCACATAATCGAAGTAGTCAACACCCTCTACGGCTACACGCTGCCTTTAAGCTAGGAGTAGGCGCAGTCTAGTCCCCGAGTATTATCTTCCACTAGACAGGAGCCACTCGCATGCCAAACATTCAAAGAATTTTGCCAAAGGTATCCGGAAGACTGCACTTTGTCAAAGTCTTCACTTGGAAGGATCATGTCCTTGTAACAAGTCAATCCCTGAGTCCTTGAAGTCAATTAGGGTGAGTTAACCCTAGTACATCTACGATGAAATTAAATATGAATGCAGATAGTGGACATTCCCCAGGTTCTGAAATCTACTGAAGAGTGAACCTAACACTTAAGATACTATATTAGCCAATCTAATTCCCCGGTGATTATCACAGGCAGACTAGTCTCCCTCCTTATAAACTAGGATATACAATCATTTGCATTAATCTGGCAGAACCGCTTCTGATTCTCAGACATTCCCAGACAGTTCGTCACCTTTCGAATCATTCGATCATATCCTGCTGCTCTGTTTCGCTTGAGATTGCAGATGACCCACGAAACCACAGTTGTAATTGGAGGACTGATGTCCGGTAACTTTCGCTTATGTCTGGAGCAGTAATCAGTTTTTTTGAATCTATTGGTCTAGATGAAGTAACAGAAATCCCCTGGCATTTACTAACGTTTGGTTTCACCTTTACGTAAAGGTATAACAATGTTTCTATAGAAACAGCTGTATACAGCTAACTGATCAGTCAGGTGGCATAAGCTAACTGGCTTGATGTTCAGACTTCTAAAATCATCAGTAACAAATTCGCTTTGAAGTAAGTGAAACGAAGAGTGAGTTATATACACAACTACACTTTATGCGTAATGCAAATGTACATTTCTACCACTCCAGGTAGCAGTTACTGACAGACTTACTTTGGTAATGCTATCTGGTTCTCATCTTTGGATTCGTGAATCTCCTGGATCAGGGTGAGTCAATGAGTGATCCCTTTGACCCCTTAGCTGAGTCTACCGCGATGGACGACGACCTATTCTTGAGGGAAGAGTTCGACTTCTTAGATGAAGTTCTGGAAACTGATCGTACTGAAAGGTCTAGTTCTCAGATTCTGAATCTGAATCTGAGAACTAGACCTTTCAGTACGATCAGTTTCCAGAACTTCATCTAAGAAGTCGAACTCTTCCCTCAAGAATAGGTCGTCGTCCATCGCGGTAGACTCAGCTAAGGGGTCAAAGGGATCACTCATTGACTCACCCTGATCCAGGAGATTCACGAATCCAAAGAAGAAGTGGTCAGGTGAGTCCGTTCAAACAAAAGTTCCAGGTTCAATGTACACTACAGGTTATGCCCCCTTTAGAAGGTTGGTGGGAAAACGGCAAGCTTCGATATATAAAAGTAGCAAGGTTGTGTACAATAACAGTGAATGAACAAGAAAAGGTGAAGATAGTAATAAAATAGTTGTTTTTTTTTAAAAAATATATTGTGAAAGGAAAGAATGAAGGAAAAAAATATAGACAATTTATGGGCACTATGTACATGATTAATGGCGTAAGACGGAATATAAGAAGAAATAACTCTGGTGCCTTGGTGCGACTTCAAGCTTCTGAGTTGTCTGGTTTATTTTTAACTCGTTTATGTTTATTTATCTTTTATGTATACATATGTAAATTTATTTTTTTAATGACATACTATTACGGGCTGAATTATATGGAGGTCTGACAGTTTTATTCCGTTACCCCAGGTTGTTATAGCGGGAAGGTGACTCATTATGTCTAAGTTTCATCTTAGACTAATGCTCCATCCTTCCTCATCAACCAAAACTAGTAGTAATACCAAAGGCAATCAATATACCAGCTGTTCGAGTGCAAGGCCGAAAATAAAATGTTAGAACACTCTGTAGAGAGAAAGCAATCTAACAAGGTTAGTAACTGTAAAAGTGGCTACTGCCCACAAACCAAATCAAAATGGTAAATACCAGGAAAAATGAATGTAAACTGCGACAAAGAAAGAAAAAAAATAAGAGTATGAACTACTCTTGTACGTAAAAGTGTTTAGTTAAGGAATTCACAGTATCGCTTAGGCCAGTGCACACGCCGACCCGCGCGTGTAACTGTTGCCTTACATGTTGTATCTGGCGAACTGCTAAATTTAGTAGGATTTTCAACAACAGAACTTGGCTGGGGTGTGGGTGCAGGCGTAGTTGCTGGTTGTGTAGGCATGAGAGGTAAAGAGTCTCCGATGTAGGCCGCTTTAAGTCTGTCGACACTGACGGTGTCTTGATGGCCAGATCGATCGATAACGAAGAATTTTTCTTTCCGACTAAGGACCTTGAAAGGTTCATCATATGGGGTTTGCAATGGCTTACGCACGGCGTCATAAAGCACGAAGACATGAGTACAATCATCCAGTCGATTACCGACATGTACTTTCCGGTTTTGAGTGCGTGTGGGAACAGGTCGGATTTGCTGCATATAACCTTTAAGCCTCTGTGCGTAACAGGTGATATCAGGGAAAATTTGCTCGACAGTGTCAGGAGCGACAAGCTCACCTGGTAAACGCAGTGTAGTGCCATACACGAATTCAGCTGAGGAACATTGTAAATCCACTTTGAGTGTGGCACGGATGCTAAGTAGGACCAAGGGCAGAGAATCCGTCCACCTACTGTTGTCTACTGCTATCAATGCGGCTTTTAATTGGCGGTAAAAACGCCCTACCAGCCCATTTGCAGCGGGATGATAGGCGGTTGTCCGAATACGCTTGCATCCCAGAATCTCCAAGAGTTTCTTGAAACTTATGGATTCGAATTTTTGTCCTCGGTCGGTGGTGACAGTGGCGGGACATCCGAAACGGGCAACCCAGCCTTCCATGAACGCACGGCAGATGGTTTGGGCCGTTACATCTGGGATCGGAATGGCTTCTGGCCAACGCGTGAAGCGATCCACACATGTAAGTAAATACGAGCAACCATTGGAAGGGGGTAAGGGCCCCACGATATCCAAGTGAATATGATGGAAACGAGCATCTGGGGTTGCGAAAGTCCCCAACAGTGTGACGTTATGCTTGATTACTTTGGCACGTTGGCATTTAACACATGCACGCGTCCACTGACGCAGATCACGGCTGATACCAGGCCACAAGAATCTGGCCGATATCAACTTGTCCGCTGCTCGAATCCCCGGATGGGAGAGGTTGTGTAAGCACTCAAACACGGTGCGACGTAAAGGCCTAGGGACAATTGGTTGAGGAGTGCCTGTTGGCATGTCACACAGTATGGATGCTTCGCTGTTCGGTAGGGGAACACGTTCTATTCTCAGCGAGGTTTTGTTTGACAGGTATTCTAAGTTCAAGTCTTTCATTTGAAGTTCTGCCATTTTCTTAAGATCTATGGTTGATGGCGCTGGCATAACGCATACGCGAGACAACGCGTCTGCTACGGGATTATCAGCTCCAGAAACGTGCTGGATGTCGGAAGTGAACTGTGAAATTTAGTCCAAGTGGCGTAGTTCACGTGGTGAGTACCTGTCGGTAGTGGTGTGGAGGGCGTACGTCAGGGGCTTGTGATCAGTAAATACTGTGAATTTCCGACCTCCGACAAAGTGGCGAAAATGTTTGATAGCCGCGTATATGGCGAGGAGTTCTCTGCCAAAGGTGCTATACCTCGCTTCAGCGGTGGACAACTTCCGAGAGAAAAAGGCGACTGGTATCCATGAGGTATGTACCAGTTGCTGTAGAACAGCTCCAATGGCTGTGTTGGATGCATCAACTGAGATGCTAAGCGGAAGATGGACGTCTAAGTGGACTAGCATGGTGGCGTCTGCAATTGCCGACTTAATATTCTGGAAGGCTTCTCGAGCCCCTGGTGTCATGCTGAACGTTTTGCTCTTGCTCTTTATTAGGTCTGTGAGTGCCAGTAAAATATGTGCACATTGAGGAACAAACCGTCGGTAATAACTCACCATGCCGAGAAATGTGCGCAAAGATTTTATTGACGTAGGTTCCGGGAAGTCGCGTATTGCCTGCACTTTCTCAGGTAGCGGGCGAATTCCATGTTCAATAATGACATGTCCCAGGAAGGTCAATGAATGGACGCCAATCTGGCGTTTAGACATGTTAAGTGTCAAACTATGGGTTGTTAACCGTTCAAAAACTATCTGTAAATGCGTACGGTGGGTAGCTTCATCTGGGCTAGCCACGAGAATATCGTCGAGATAAGCATATGCGCAATCCAATCCGCGCAAAACATCGTGAATGAAACGCTGGGATGTTTGTGCGGCGTTGCGGAGACCGAACGGCATTCGAAGGAATTCGAAAAGACCAAAAGGGGTGATCACTGCCGTTTTAGGAATATCGTCGGGATGAACTGGGATCTGATGGTAGGCTCTGGTTAAGTCCAGTTTACTGAATACCGTTGCACCTTTGAGGGAAGATGTAAGGTCATGTATGTGTGGCACAGGGTAGCGATCTGGCACGGTCTGCGCATTAAGTCTGCGGTAGTCCCCACAAGGCCTCCAGTCTATCCCGTTATTTTTAAGCACCACATGTAAAGGGGAAGACCACGGGCTGCTGGATGGACGGATTATCTGCATGTCCAACATACGTTCGAACTCGGCCTTTACGGCTTGTAGTTTTCCTGGGGACAATCGCCGTGGCTTAGCGAAGACCGGTGGACCAGTGGTCACGATATGATGAGTGACAGTAGAAGTCACACAAGGAAGTTTAGAAACCGGTTTGAACAGGTTGGCAAAGGACTGGAGAACTTCAGCGTAAGGGCCGTTAGAGGCAGGGGTTGAATATACTGGACTTAATGAAGGTGTGTGTCACAACACCGGAGATGGAGAGGTTTGTAGCTGAATCGATCAATTTGTGCTTGCCAGTATCAACCAGTAGCTGATAGTGTTGCAAGAGATCCATGCCAGTAATACCGGTAGTTACATCTGCCACAAGGAAAACCCAGCGAAATGACCTACGTAGGCCTATGTTAAGATCCAGGAACCTTTTGCCGTACGTTGTGATTGGCGAACCGTTTGCGGTATGAAGCTGTAAGGAAAATGGCTTCTGGCGATCTTCAGATGTTGGTGGAATCACGCTAACTTCAGCCCCAGTGTTAAGCAGGAAGCGTGTCCCAGTGTTACGGTCAGTAACATAGAAGAGGTGACATGGGAGTGGTTCGCCAGCGACGTTAGTCGCCAATACTTGGTGGCTTACTGGTTTCCCGATTGCTGGACATCAAAGGTGCACGAGCGAGTGCACTTTTGGGCCTTGTCACCATAACCCCGGTGATACCAGCACACTCCAGGTTGGGAATTGTGAGACCTACGGTGCCTGCTACCAGCTCGTGAAGAAGATCTACCACGAGTCGAGTTGGTGCGGCTATTTGAACGACCTCTAGGTCTCATATCAAGTCTTAACTTACATATCTCCTCATATAGCTTAGTTGTGTGGGCCACCACATCTACGTTTGATGACCCCTCGGCAGAGGAGTTCTTAGTCTGCGTGGGACTAGTGGTAACGGCAGCCGAAATGTTCGTGTTGGATGTAGTAGTCTCTACTACTCTATCGGCTGCTTCAGCTAGTTCAGATAAGAGGGAATGGTTGATTGGAGCTAAAATGGTCTGAATCGCCTGTGGTAATCGTTGCGGCCACAGCTGTTTTAAGAATGCATCGTCTATTTTGAAGTCAGCCACCAGCTGTCTCATTTGACGTAACAGTTGAGTGGGCTTTCTATCACCCAGCTGAACATCTCTGAATAATTCCTGCACTTTCTGTTGGTCGGTAAGTGCAACGCGCTTAATTAGCGCCTGCTTGAGACGCTCGTACAAGCCCGGGGATCGGTCCGCGAGGACATCAGATACTTCTTCCATGACGTTCTCGGGGAGACTTACGATAACCAGGTACACCTTAGTCTCTTGTGAGTGTATATTTCGTAGGGCGAACATAGCTTCGATGTGGTCGAACCATGGAACAGGATGATGAGTCCAGAAGGTGGGGAGTTGCAAGGTAATAGCCATTTCTGAGGCGGAACTGGTGTCAGTCATTTTGCACACGGGACGATATATTAATAAAATGATAACAAATATGATAACAAAAAAATATGAGTAAAAACAAGACAAGTAAAATTTTATAACTCTGTGTGACAAACAAATTGCCAATATAATATAATATATAATATATATATTTATTCCTGTTTATGCAGGAACATACCAATTGTACAGGCATGGATAAGTTATTATATAAATTACAGTTTGT